GTTAGGTAGGTTATTCCAGAGTTTGGGCGCTAAATAGGAAAAGGATCTGCCACCTGCAGTTGATTTTGATATTCTAGGTATTGTCAAATTGCCAGAGTTTTGAGAACGCACGGACGTGGAGGACTATAATGTAACAAGAGCTCGTTCAAATACTGATACAAGTACGATTTGAACCATGCTAATGCACTTCCATTAATGCCAACAAAGTTTTCTAGTCTATTCAAAAGAATGTTGTGGTCAATAGTGTCGAACGCAGCGCTAAGATCCAATAGCACTAATAGAGTGTTGGTAATACTGTTTGGTAAGAATCCACTGAATTAATGACTCAGTGGCTGCGTCCGAAATGGCATACTTCTATACTATATAGTAGGCAAAAAGCAGTCGGCAAGCAAATGAGTATGTTTCAATCCTCAGTATTCATAAAAGAGTAAGCAAAAATTGCACAAATTCTCGCGAGATTCGGACATACGTATACTTAATTTGCGTTCTAATATGCCTACTTACCTACTATATAGTAGGAGAAAAGAGTACTGAACAGATTAGTATGTCCAAAACCGCATTATTCATAAAAGAGTAGGCGAGAAATCCCCGGATGTCCTACTGCTTCAGCCCAGATTCTGAAGTGCTCATCGATGGATACTCTTCTATCCCAGAAGCCCACGCGAGAAGATACGTCATCATCGAACGTGATGGAGAACAGCGATGAGGGTGTTTACAAATGTGAGTATTAGAAATCAAATACACGGTTCCCTGTGTTAAAATCATATTTGTTGAGCGACTGTAGAGTAAACTGTTGATTTGCTTAAGGTGTAAAAGACGCTAGACAGTAACGTTACAGTATATTTGTGATTTTGCTGTAAAAAACATGTTTTATTATGTATAGCGAACAGCAGAGCTCCAGTAAGCACACGCACGTCTCCAAAGTGCATTTACATAAACCATATACATCTTAAAGATGATTGAATGTCTATTTAATATGAGACAGGAAAATATTGTAAAAGAATTGCAGATGAGCACATCACAACATGAACAGACATCTGAGTGAGTGATGTATGTGTGCTATTATAGTAGAATTCACTGTCAACTCTGCTTTAGATGAATGTAAATAATGTAAATAAACAAATCTACATAGAGTAACTAAACATGAGTTATCTATTTCATTTGGTCGTTAGTACTGTTGATAAATTGTGGAGCACTTGTGTTAGATAAAAAGTGAATTAACACAACATGTAAATGCAGTATTGAGCAGATAAATCACAGAGGTGACTGACTCTTGTCTGATGTTACAGGAACAGATGAGACACACGTGTGTTTATCTGCTGCAGAGTGACTGATGAAGCAATGCTGCCATCAAAGGCTTTGAGTACACTATAGAAATGAATAAAACATATTTTAAATCTTAAGTTGTAGTTTATATTATATTTAATTATTGTAATTTCAAACATATCTATTACAGCGCTTTTCTGATTCTTGATTGCTGTGCATTGGCTGCAGAGCTTTTGTGGTGGAGCAGG